ATAATATAATATAATATAATATAATATAATAATATAATATAATATAATATAATATAATATAATATAATATAATATAATATAATATAATATAATATAATAATATAACATAACATAACATAACATAACATAAATATAAATATAAATATATTTACTATGTATACATTAATGTTAGAAGTTGAAAGATTATTACTGTGTACACATAAATAGTATTATTATTGTTATTAATATTATGTATAAAGTAAATTGACCCAGACAATTCACTAAGCACTTAATGTATGTCAAAGAAAAAAAAAGAAACCCTTTGATGCCATCTAGTGGTCCTCTGAAGTATTTCATACCACATCTGGTAGGTGTTGACAAAGTGTTGACAAAGTGTGGCCAGGGGGTTTAAGGTGTCTGAAATCTGCATCAGAATTTTTCTGCCTCTTTTCACTTTTCTTTTACATTGAAAGCCATCATGTTGCTAAACAAACATCATTCACCCCTTCTTCCCCTAGGACCATCTTTGTTTCCCAGAATGCCTATCAGAAAATAAAAATATTCACTGAAGTGCAGCCCAGTGTTGTAAGTTGTCCAGTGATCTCAAGAAAAAAGTGAAATGAGGGTAATTTTAAATACCTCTTTTTTACAAAGCTGAGTCCGCTAGGGAAGAGACTGGGCCTTGGCTTTATCAGTGTAGTTGCTTTCCCTCGTATGGGGGTGGGGAGGAGCTCTGTGAATGCATGGATGTCATCACAAAAAGAGTTTTGCTCTTTAAGAATTTGTAATGGTTGGAGATGCTTTTGCAGAAGGTGAAGAGCTAAAATACTCCCTGAAGAGTTGGGTGCTATTTCTGCACAATTGAAAGCCTTGTGGGCATGCAAGAGGAAAACCAAACGTTTCTGAAATGGTTAACTACCGTAGTTTGTACAAAAGAAGGTAGGAATCTATTATATGTTTCAGACTGCAATGTCTTAAGTTCTGTTTGTAGAGGTCAGTGAAAATCAACAGATGGAAATCGTAGAACTGTCGCTGAGAAGCCACACATGATTCTCCGTCAATGTGTAAGTGAACACACGTGGTTTTTCCTACATATACGAAGAATCATTTGACTTTTGGGGGAGCAGCCTGTAGAATTTAATACGAAATTTTATTCTGAAACAACAGATCCGAATATAAATTATGTTGATAATAAAAGAAGAGCACCTACTTCATCTGATAAAGATTGTTGGTTCCTCGGTGGTCAATATCATGACACAAAGCTGCGGTGACCATGGCAAAGGCTTCAAGATCTGTATAATACTGCTTCAATTTACCTGTCTATACAAAACAAGTTTTTTAAAAAAAATTCTCGGATATTTTTTAAAAAATCTGTCAGATTTAGTTTTTATTTTGTTACAGTTTTTTTTAAAAAAACCCATACAAGTTGAATTTCCATTGATATTCTTATTGAAAGCTATTTAGCGTTTTTGCATTAAAATTAAATGAAAGTAGAACTTGCATTTAAAATTCAAATTTTTTAAAAAGAGCTTGCATATTTGCAACCATCCATTTGTAACCCACAAACTTCTTTCCAGAGTCAGTGGAAATTAACATTTTGGCCTTTATTTTGCTTTAGTGTGTGTGTGTAATTGAGCATATTTTAAGAATCAGAAGCCTTGAGGATGCTTAAGTAACTCAACTTGACATTCCTAAATCTGCATCCAAATAAAGATAATTTCTACCGAAGTGCTTTAAATACTATAGACTGTGATTTCTGTATAAAGCGCCTTATCCAGAGGTGGTTTGCTCCTGTTCGTACCGGTTCGGGAGAACTGATAGTGGTAATTAGGTGAGGGTCTCTGAACTGATAGTGATGGCTGGCTGGCCACACCTCCGAACCGGCTCGCTCTGACGCTCACCCTGCCTCGTCTTCGCCACGTGCATCCACACAACTGCCTCATAGTGCCTACATACATGTAAGCACCGTGGGCTGCTCAGGGAGCCCTGAGGCTTCGCAACCACTGACTCTGAAGTGGGATTAAGCCTCTGCACAGAGGCAGGAGGCGGCAGTTTCGTTTGCTGCCTGTGAGTTCCAGGGTGGGTAGGGTTGGGCAAACAGCCAAGCGAGCATGCCAGGATCTGCCGGCTGCCTCTAATCTGCAGTTTACTCGTGAGCAGGTTTACTCATGAGCAGGGTGCTCGGCAGCTGGCAGACTGCTGCCTCCCCTGGAGCTCACAGGCAGCAAACAAAACCACCCTCCAGATCTCCTGCGTTCAGCTAGGCGCAGCTCAGGTTGCTGCTTTCTTTGGCCTTTTAAAAAAAAGTTTTACGCCATATTTTATTTCCCATCTCCAATCTGAAACATACATTTGCCAAGCCACACCCATAAAATAAGCCATGCCCACGGAACCGGTAGTAAAAAAATTTTGAAACCCACCTCTGCCCTTATCACCTAATTTCTTGATAAACGATGGAATATCTGAATCTGGGCTCTTAAAGCAGAATGAGGTTGGAAACTCTGAGCTAAAAATTGTAGATACTTAGACAAACTAAGAATTTCGGGGTAGGGTGAGAGTTATGAACTTAATGGCAAAGACAATTATATCTAGTAAATTGTAGAAGTAAGAGTTATATCTGGAAATGGCTCTAAAACAAAAGTGTCAAACTCAAACTCAGGCCAGATCCACCCAGCGGGGTGCTGGCCCACCAGCCCAGCCTGGAAACAGCAAAGGACCGGCCTGCAGTGCCTCTGCCAGCAAAAATGGAACTTGGGGTGCATGCACCCTTGCACCCCTGCACCCCATGTTTGGCTGAGATAGCCTCCTGCAGCCCTCTGCCAGCAAAAACAGAGCTCAGGAGGGCCGCATGTGTACCCCCCCCCCGGCTCCAGCTCCATTTTTGCTGGCCGAGGGTTGCAGGAGGCCGTTGAGGCTAAAAATGGGGAACACTCCGTTTTCATTGGCAGGAGCTATTTTGATAGGGGATATCAAAACAAACTAAAAACAAAACAAAAGTAGAAATGTTTCCCCTTTTGCATTTGAGCATCCAAGAAGGGGAGAAAAGGAGAAAGGGAAAGTGGAAAGACAAAGGAAAAGGAAGGAAGAAAAGAAGGAAGGAAGGAGATTATAATGAGAGTGAGTGAGGATCTCAGGGAAGTCTTGCCTTAGCACTTGGCCACCACACGAGCGATGTTGAGCTCACCACGCCCACCCCCGGTTACACTCCCCAGCCCTCCGAGTTCAAACACAACCCTGATGTGGTCCTCAATGAAATTGAGTTTGACACCCCTACTCTAAACTGAAACTGTTTCTAAAGAAAACCTAGTAAAGATGTACCATAAGGAGGGTGAACATAGTCTGCGCAACATTGAAGCCATGGCGCCAGTTGTGATAGGTAATCTTTCGGTAACCTTTGCTGACTGAAAAAACAAACCTCACCAGGACCTGTGAAAATAAAAAGAGTTAATCAGTGCAAACCAAGTTTTATGTGCCACAATTTTCTCAAAAGGAGGTAAGGAACTATCCCTCACCCCACCCCCCCAAAAAAGTTTCTTAGCCAATTTTGGGTATTTAGATGTTCAGGAGAAATATATTACAGGGAATTCTCATCTTACAATAGTTCGAAGTTACAAAGGCAGTGAAAAAAGTGACTTATGACCATTTTCACACTTATGACCGTTTCAATATCCCCATGGTCATGTGATTTACCTTCAGATGCTTGGCAACTGACTCACATTTATGAAATTTGCATTGTCCTGGGGACATGTGGTCAACCTTGTGCTATACAAAGTCAATGGGGAAACCACATTCACTTAACAACCATGTTACTAATTTAACAACTACAGTGATTCACTTAACTGTGGCAAGAAAAGTCATAAAATGGGGTAAAAGCCACTTAACAAATTTTCACTTAACAACATAAATTTTGGGCTCAACTGTGGTCTTAGATGATGGACTACCTATACCTATTTTTTTCTTAGTGATCCCATAATTTATTTTATTCATTAATTTGGATCACTGATACCTGAACTGTTAATTTAAAATTTTGAAGGAGTTTATAATCTAAATAAAATGCATTAGGGTATACAAGTTACTAAGGAAGGCAAAAAGCATAAACATGTTTTCTCCTAGGCCTTCACCTTCAATGGCCAGTTGGTTGCTAAATCTTGGGAATCCACTAAGTTTCAAAACTGTAGAAGTTTTAGAAGATGTTAGCCTGAAATGGCTACCAGGGAAGTCCCACCTTAGGCTTAGTAGTTATTTGTGCTACTGTCTCTCACAGGTAATTTCCAGATTGATGAAGATTCAAAAAAGATTGTTGCAACCCTGCAGATTAGATGATGCCATGGCTGGAAGCTTACAAAAAAAAGTACGCAGTTGTGGCTAACTTCCAAGTATTGATTGATTGGCAGTTCCCTGTCCTCCACAGTTGGTCAACAAGTGTTAGCCAACACTGATTGGCTGATGGATTCTTTGCATGTAAACATGCTGTGCTCATCTTGGCTTTCAAAAATGGAAGGAGGAGAACTACCTGAAGCGTTACTGAAGAACCTATAAATTGCAATTAGAGATTTTGGGTACAGAAAGTCTGGCCAGCTGGAATCTCCCATGGGGTCTGGTTCTACTGAGAAGTGCAATCATCACCCAAGGAGCAGGATATTTCAAATCTACGCACAATTCTAAGATACTCCTACTATCTCTCAGTTAATTTACTTTCCGTATATATGCGTATCTGATTAACTGTTCCCTTTCTATACAGATTTTTGATTTTGTTTTATTTTGTATCACCTTGGTGGAATGGCTAAGGTGTTGTCCTATGACCAGGTTTAATTCTACTCTCAGACAGGGAAGCCCACCAGATGACATTGGGATAATCTGGAGATTAATCTGAACTACTGAAAGAAATATGGGATATAATGCAAGCAGACAAATCCCTTTTAAAAAGACAATTCATTTGTAGAAAGTTCAATATGCCACTGTCCACCTAATAAGGGATGAGTGCAAAGCCACAGCGTGCTCATTACTCTTTTTTTTTAAAAAAAAATCTCCAGGTTTGAAGAAGGGTCTGCAAAAAAGTTACCATTTACCTCCTGTGGAATTTGGAATTTTTTCACCACTCCAAGCTCATAATACATTTGAATGCCACATTTGACAAGATCAAGTTCAGTCCATTCAAAATCTGAAAAGTGAAAGGCGTAAATTTCACATTCTTCAGGGTCTGGAAGCATTTCTTTCTGGGGGCAAAAAAGAATAGCACTTCTAGTTTAGATTCCAGAGTGGAAGCAACAAATTTTGCTCTCTGAAATGGCATACAAAGAGTGACTATGCTTGCATCTAATGCTACTTCATGAGATGCAAACAATGCTATCACTAGAATACACCAAACTAAACTTAGTTTAGATAGACTTCTATTCAATTTCTCTCCCGCAAAACAGCCTTGCCAGCATTTCATTTTACTTTTCCAAGATTTTGATTTGCTCATGTTTGCAAAAATGGAACTGCAGTTAATTAAGCAAACCATTTACAGATCCATTGCCTGTCATTAATTTTTTTTTGCAATTGATCAGAGCTTTTGATCATCTACAATCTCACAGTGATATGGCCAGATAGGAAGGCTACTCATAACCAGTTTTTCGATCTGGATTCTTGATGACATTTGTGTTGCATTTAAATAACTGTTATTTAATCATTTAAATAACTCTTGCCTGTTTCCGGGTGTCTGGTTTCCTGCCATTCCACATCAATAGTGCATCCATATGTTAGCATATGATTGTGCATTCTTGCAGTGAACCATGACCAATATCTGTATTCTATGGCCACTAGGGACAGATGTCAGTGTTTTCCTCTGTAATGTGTTTGCTTTTGTAAAAATGTGGAATATTTTTTCCTTCAGGGATTATAGCATATTAGTGATAAATCTATATTGCCTGAGATGAGATGAGGTGGTTTCTTCATGCAAAACATGTCAATAAGTGAAATTGGAAAGTTCTAGGGCAGTGATGGTGAACCTTTCTGGCACTGTGTGCATGCATGCATGCTTGTACGGGATGCAACCTGGAAGAGGAGCTGCCCAGGGGCCATGCGTGTGCCAGAAAATGAACTTCCAGTTTCCGGCATGCACAGTGGTCAGCTAGTCAGCTGGCTGGCACGTATGGTCATGCCAGAAAATGGAAGACCAGCTCTTCTAGTTTCTGGCACTGCCACACACATGATCATTGTGCGCACATGCATGCCAGAAACCCGGAAAAGGAAGGGGAAACACTACGCGTGCCAGGCGACATGGGTCTGTATGCCACTTTGGGCACGCATGCCATAGGTTCGCCATCATGGTTTTAGAGAATTTTCTTAGAGGAAATGCTTTGCTGAAATTAATAATTTTTGCAAACAATTTTCATTATATCAATAGAAGTGTTAGGTAAGCTCCCCGTTAGGAGAATGAGTGCGTGCAGAGAAGCGTAGTGAAAGCGGTGTAGAAGAACACATAAACCAGCATACCGAGACACTGAATTGTAAAACAGATAGTGTTGTACTTCTGTGGACATAGAGGTATGCAAAGTCCAATTCATACATGGTTAAGACAGTCAGTCATCAACGTTCGCAGTAAAGGGGTGATCCAACAAACACAGTCCAGAATTACATAAATAGCTCAGTACACAAAAGTCGCTAACAGTTGCAAAACTCACAGTAATTCACACTGATCAATACACGACACATCTACAACCATCATCCAACAATCAGCATCTAACAGTCATTCTGGCTCCATCTTATGGCCGCTTGAGGAAACAGCAACCAATCACATTTACAGCAGTAATTAAAGATACAGTATTACTATCATGGTTTATATATTGTCAACCCAACTGTTAGATTACATTCCTAACAAATGTGAGCTCCTGAATCAAGAAGTGATCTACCGTATTTTTCGGACTATAATTTATCTCCCCAAAGGGGGTGAAAATGTCTGTGCATCTTATACACCAAATATTGTTGAAGCCCCACCCACCCACTGGCCATTTTTTGGTCTCTGCACAACCCTTTTTCAGGTCTTTCTTTTGCCCATTTTGGAAGCTTTTTTCAGACTGTTTTGGAAGCTTTTTTCAGATCATTTTGGATGCTTTTCTTGGCCCATTTTTTATTTTTTTGTGGCCCATTTTCAAGGCTTTTTTTGGCCCATTTTTGAGGCTATTCTTGGCCCATTGAACAACTTGAACTAATATCTACAATTGGGCAATTGGAGCATGTTGA